AGAAGAAGAAGAAGAAGAAGAAGAAGAAGAAGAAGAAGGAGAAGGAGAAAGAGGAGGAGAAGGAGAAGAAGAAGAAGAAGAAGAAGAAGACTTCTCAAGGAGTGCAGTGACACACCTATCCTTCCTTTTTCTACACCCAACACTAAAACTTTTCACTGCGAGTGACACACGAAAATATCATCTACCCACCCATTATAATATACTTCTATCCCCATATATATATATGTACAAACAGCTTTCCTGGGTACTCATGGTGGAGTTTTGGCTGCCATCACAAGAACAACATACATGTATGGCACTGACTGAGAGAGTCATATTTCTGTCACAAAGTAGGGCAGATATTCTTTATCAGTCTCTAATCAATCAACATGATTAATATGTGAGGCAGCGTGGTGAAATCAGGCGCTCGTCAAAATAGTGAAATTGAAGAAACTCGCATTTCTATTTCGTAGATTTTTTTTGGGTAGGCTCAACATCTTTTCCGTTCCTTCAAGAACACATTTCTGTGTGGATTTGACTGAAAAGCGTTCATTAAAGGCACAAAAAGAAGTAGGTTTTAAGATAATTCCAATAACTTCACATGCCTAAAAATAGATGAGCGCCTGATTCCACTGTGTCGTGACATATATGGCTTGTTGTTGCCATCATCATGTTGGACCGTTCGAGAGATCGTTTCTACGACACATTCAGAAATAGCTATGTTTCCAGTTTATTCATTAAAATTTGACATATTCTACTTTATGAAATATCTCTGCCTTGAATGAGTGTGATATTTTTTCATTTAGCCAAAGTGGGAGCTTATAACAAAAAGATAACTCTCCAAAAAATAAAAAAAATATATATATTACATCTAAAATTGAAAAAATAAAGGTCAATAAATATTCATAAAAAATACAAAAATGTGCTGAAAATGGTACCAATAATGTGAAGTGGTCAATCTATCTGATAGAAAATTAGTAGCAAATTACATACACTGAATGAAAATGATACTGCATCATCATCATCATCATCATCATCATCATCATCATCATCATTACCATCATCATCATCATTACCATCATCATCATTATCAGCAGCAGCAACAGCAGCAGCAGCAACAGTATCATGTTAAAAAATAATAATAATAAATAAAAGTAAAGTATAGTAACGTATATGCATGTCAAACTCTTAATATTTTTAGATAGGGTGATGACGATGCATCTATTTCTAATTATAGATCTCAAATAGTTGCCATCATTTCCGTTATATCGTAGAGAAGACAGGTGTATAGGAGCAAAACATTATACTATCAGTTTTGAAAGAAAAAAAAAAACTTTCTAAAGAAGTACTTTCACCAAGATGTTACATGCATTTTTCATTCAAATTAAAGACAATCGAGAGTTTCTATGGTTATTTTGAAATCAGTTAAAAAAGATTTCACACCCATTGTTGAGGCAAAAAATGTCTGGAAAAAAAAGAGAGAGAGAGAGACCTCATCCCTTGACATGCAGCAAACTAATAGGAAAACATTCCAAGATTCAAGACCAGAAATAAGAACCCTTTTCCTGTTACGAAGGACAATCAGGAAGAAAATGTCTGGTCCTGGTTGTATGTCGAAACAATTAAAAAGATGGTAGAGGGAATGTGTGCACATTACCGCTTCCATAATGGCTGCAGTTCGTTCCTTTCCATCCTGTGTAAAGCGACAACGACATGAAATCTTCATTCATCTCAACTACTTTGAGTGTCTCATCTTCAGAGTGTAAGGGTAGGGGGGGGGGGGGGGGG